GAGAAATCCAACACTGAGTTTTCCAAAAAAAGAGCTGCCACTCTAAGACTGTAAACGCGGGTGTCGTTCGGTCATTGATCACAAATGCTTTCAACAGTTCGTGTATACATTTCATAGCAAAGGTAGTCAAAGGGCAACGTTGGAGGCTGAAGAGCGAGGGACACGGAGAAGATTTGATTAGAAAGCACGTGAATATAATGATCAGGGCAAGAGAGGAGACAGAAAAGAGATTGAAAAAAAAAAAAAAGATTCGCATTCCTGCTATATTTTCACGCGATTTCTCACAATGTAAAAGCTTGTGCGAAGAACTCTGGTGTAAATGTGGTTTTCAATGAGGCTTAAGTATGTCTGGCAAACTTTCAGACTTTTGAATGAGAAACTAACCTAGTATAAAAACAAATGTGGAAATCAAAGCCGTCAATTATCAAATATTTACATATTTAAAGGAATCCAACAACTCCATGGCACAGTGGTCGGAGACAGAATTAGTACACGGAGACGTCAATGATGTCACACGAGTTGCAAGAAAATAATTATAATTTAGTCAGCAGGCAACTGTACAATTCAGCCATTCCTGTACCATGCCGGCAGTATCAAGACGTTCCTGCGTTTATAAATATTTTGGTTCTTGGCTTGGTTGTGTGTGCGTGTTTGTTGTGTGGCAGGCAAGCGTTTTGTGGAAAGTTGGGTTTCTGTTCGAGCGTGAAAAATAGCACAGAGTGTAACGTGTATAATGTTCACCTTGAGGTTTACTTATCAGTTTGGAGGGCTTGACCAGCAAGGTTTTCTGGGCTGGTTGGGAGTTCTCAGAAGTTAGAGCTCTTTTCAAAGGCAGGACAGTCGCGCAAGGTCATTGTTTTATCATAAATGTGTACATTTGTGGTTGCAAGCATTGTAACAAAAAGTAAAGTTTTTTTTTTTATTTATTTTTTTGCGTTGATTGTTGATTATGGTGGTTTCATTGTGTGTATCACTGTGTTACTGAATAAACGTATTCGCTCAGTTTCAAAGGTAGTCTGACTGACATTTATTCTGAGTCTCTTCCAGTTTTGGTTGTTCAAGTTTTTCCAACACCAGTCACAGGTTTGTCAAAGAAATTTTAAACTCGCCCCTTTTTAGCATTACCATATATTTTGTGCAAATTTAAGAATTTGTATAATCATTTGTTCACTGAGGTTTTTCAACTAGTATTATGCTTTCATTGTCCCGTATTTTTGGTTCCGTGTGATTCTAGTGTATTTGCATTGCCGCCCGCTAACGGGCAGGGTCAAGTGCATGAATCATAAGGCTGGTTTCTAAAAGATTTGTGAGCTTATGAGTCACTTGTATTTGATTTAATCGCATTACTTTTTGTATTTTAATTAAAATCTCGTTTGTGCTGAGAACCCTGTCTTGTGTCCTCATCATGGACAATACATCACCAGGGCGTGGAACAAATGGCCAGACCGCAGAACTTTTTGTTTAACATAAAAAATACAAATCCCAAACCTGTGACATTAGTTTATCATGCGCATCAGAATAGTTAGTTAGCAGCCGTCCTTATCTAATCTCCATGTTTCCAGAAATTAAGAGAAAAAAAACACCTGGTACTTGTCTGCATAATCTCGCGCTCCAATCCCGACTGCAAGCACATTTTCTCCATGTGAATATGAACACCCGCATGGGCAGGATAGCACTGGTTTAAGCGTTGATGCATGACGGAAATATAAACTCCAGGTTGGAGCCTATTTCGGTGATATGCTCCCTCTACAGCAGATACATATAGGATTGTATTGCGAGCTAAGCTTATTTCCCGTTCATTGAATATTTATATCACTAATTGAAGCTCACCGGGCTTTCTTCTATTTGAAGATGCAATAGCTCACTCCACGCTTTCTTGAATACTAATCCAATATTTCGAGAGCGAAAATCCAACACTAAAAAAGAAATGTTGTAGCCCCTACATATACGACTTCCTTTAACTTCAGTTGGACGTACAAGGCACTGACGTTCAACCGACGTTACAAACTTTCTTGAGCGGCTTGGTAGTCAAGTTGTACAACCTAATAAAATAGCTTAAATAAGTATAACTGACTGTACGAAAAGTGGTTGGTTTTTTTCTGGCCCTACTGCTGAACCTCAATGTTCTTTTTCTGTAATCTTCGATGCATACGTTAGCCATTTAATATGTTTTACCCCACCGTCATTAAACCTCTCGACACCCCAAACTGAAGTTTTGGGGTGTCGTATATATGACAAGGGGTGTAAGGTCTACACCCTTTTTTTAGTGTGCACGTAGCGGCAGGCACGACTATTCTTTACACTAATGTCACGTAAAATAAACATTACCGACGTCACATCTTTCCCAATGTCTCTTTTCCAAGGAAAGCATTTGCATAATTACATTTAATCTTGATCAAACACATTGTTTCACCCCTGACTACTTCATAATCTATAAAACACGACCTGGGAAGAGCCGCGATAAAACGGACTTTTTCCCAAAGAACAGAGCACGTTCGAAGCAAGAAGACAGAGCTCACAATAGGACGAACAATGCCCTTACAAGCACCATGCCCTTGACACAGCAAGGTACGCATATCACGCTCTTTGTACACTCTTTCTGTTGTGCGTGCATACTGCGTCCGTTTATTTTTATAAGAAACAGTGCCTCCCTTCGCAGTCAGATCAGAATTTTGATGACGCGCTTCCTCTTGTGCTTATCTGTGCCGCCATCTTTCCCTGGAGGAACAAGACAGAATCCAGGGGAATGCCTCGCTGGAGGCGCGCGACGCAAGCGGGCAATTAGAGGAACGAGCCGAAACGCGACGGCGTGCGCCTCATACCCCGCCCAATGAATAATGGAGCGCCAGTCGTTGAGGTGCCAGACAAAACGGAGGAAGAAAAAAAAAAAAACAGCTGCCGGAACGTGCGCGGTACGCGAAGAAATGAGAGCGCGGTCAAGAGCGCTCGACCAAGACGTGCGTTCGGTCCCCAAACTGACCAAGCGTTGACCTCCCGAAGGCCCTTGTGCAACGGCCTAACCTTGTAATAAATTCCGGCCGAGAATGAGCTGCATCAGATACTTACATTTGAGACGGACCCTCTAGCTCGAGGAAATATTTCCGTACAATAAAAAAGATAACAACCATAAATTTTAAACAGCCCATCTAGGGTGTGAGCTCTTGTCTAACTAATAGAAATGGTTCGAAATGCCTTGTTTTTTTGTACTTACTGTCGGAAACAGTGCGAAATGTGAGGCATATAAAATATTATTTACTGGTCATGCCGAACTCTCTAAGACCATTCCGTGAAATAAAATGTTTTCTAGGAAATATCAATATTCTACTATATTTGCGGTCTATGATACCCAAGCGATTAGAAATCTGAGGAACGTTACGATATTTCCCCAAGAAAAGCAGACCTTGATAATATTGTGAATGTCGACCATAGAAATTCATGAAAAAAAATTGTAGGGCCGTGAAATGAAAACTATGCGCGTCCAAAAGTTTAATTAGTGCTTATTGGTATTCTATAAATGTTATAAAAATATTCCGGAGGAAGACTGCGATGCTTATTGTTGTACAGTTTAAATTAGCATTCCAGGGTATGCTCCGAGGAGTTGATATCGAAGGAAGTTGGGCATGGTAAGATCATGTAGCAAGATTATGAGTCCAGCTTCTATCTCCGCTCCACTTAGAGGTATGTAAGATAAAACCGCGGAGGTAGCAGTATTTGGTAGGACAAAGTCGAACAGCAGCCTTGAAGATGTAGCGATGGCTTGCTGAGATAGTCAGCAACGTGAGAGCCATGAAGAAACATCCTTCAGCCGTATCTTGATAGTTAATTTGGAGTGTCTCAGGAAGCATTTTTTATTTTATTTTATCAAGATTTACGTGGCAAGGGCTAAATGCCTCGACGGACAGAAATAATATATATATATATGTAAATATATATATATATATATATATATATATATATATATATATATATATATATAACTCAAGACCTGCGGGCATGGAGACACCATGCTAATTGCCTTGTCCCTGTAATGTCCTTTTTAACCGTAACCAAATAACAAAGATAGAGTTTTACATGTTTGATCGCAGATTCTTTGAAAATAGACATATTTATATATGGGATATCCTGCTTTTAGACTTGCCCATAACAAGATCATGGAATGTGCAGAAGCATGCAGCAGTGTATGCTGGCGTTGGCGCATAAGCAACTGGAAAAGACAGAAACGCATAACATTGCGAAATATTCAGACCGAAAAGAACATACAATAAAGGCAGTGGAAACATGAACGTTCCGAGGTGAGCAAGCGCAGCCTGTCACGCTCAGTTGCGCGTCAACGAAAGTGCGCGGCGAAGGCTGCAAACGAGAGGTCAGACATTAAAAAAAAAAGCGTTTGCGCTGCCCGAGCGTTGTTACGACGAAGGCACCTTAAAGCAGCTGACCCACGTTTGTAGCGTTCGCCGAGTACTCACATTAAGGCAAAACGGGCTTCTGACGAGCCGGCGACAATGCACAAATTGACACATCTCCGGAATGAGCAGCGACGGCGGCAGGACCCCCGAAGCAGTGGCAACTTTCTCTTGACGTGCCACGGACGTACTCAGTGAGAGGCGAACAAGAACGGAGGCAGCGGAGCTTGCGACGGCGTTTGCGCAACCTGTTTGCCTGCCGCTCCGGGCGCCGGATGGGGCGGCCGCCAGAAGGAGCTCCTCCGCAGCAAACGGTGCCCGGACACGTGGATTCAGCTATCGAGACCTCGCTACTCAAGACAGCGCCCAATTACCAGGAACGGAGTGCGCTCCAGGGAGAGGAGGCGTCTGGATCTCCCTCGGGCTGGTCGCCGGAGTTCCCCTCCTGGGGCAAATGCCGAAGAGCGAGAAAGCGCTCACACGACAGCAGCCGGGCGTTGACGTAAAGCAAGCTAGCTGCCCCCTTTCCCTTCTACAAAGGGGCGAGGAGGTTGGCGGCCACAAAGGGCCTCGCGATCAAGGTTGATTTCCATATTCCGACCGGAGCCAAAGAGTTTGCCGGGAGCACTCTCTCGACGTGCACTGCGCAAAAGTGCTCGTCGCTGTTTGCAGTTTTCTTACCCCACGCTACTGGACAAAGGGACCGCGGCCCGTCGAGTCACTGCCTGGTGTCTCCGCGCTACGGCCCACGATTCAATATGAAATCGAACTGCGGGAGTTGTCTTTGGACACGGGGCATTGTTCTCTCGTTCATCCTGTGGTCGAGAGCTGTGGGCGAAGGGATGGCCGCCGACGTGCCGGCGGGGGATGTGGGCTTCAACGAGACTGCGACGACGGAGGCCCCCCAGCCGAACGCCCTGGCCATTTTGCGGGAGATGCTCCAGACTCAGATTGACCAGGCCTACGATTCGTCGGCGGAGAGGTTCCTCGGTGCCAAGTTGTCACCGCAGTGCAGTCTCAAGCTCCTCAAGTTTGTGCATGCGCTGCGGAACTTCGAGCCCTGGACACTGAGAAGTGAGTTCACATTACACGTCCTGTCGCGGTCACTTTTGCGCAGGGAAAATATTGCAAGTTAAAATCAAAAATTCGATGCTACTTTCCTGCCTAATTTTATTTTTCAATGGAGCGAACGCAAAAGTTTCTTTAGAGGGTTTAATAGGTAAACATGTTTTGCCCCAACCTTTTTGAACGGCACTCTTTTCAACGAACCAACGCATTTTTGTTAAGAAATATAAGATGTTGTAGGGGTTACTAATGGGTTCGGCCACCATGGCTGAATGATAGTATTTTAAATAATCAGCGCTTTACATTTGATAAAACATTTGTTTTTAAAGCAGCACGTCCTACAGCCGTGTATTTACTCACGTCAATTCAAGGTCGAATCACGTCTGCATAAACTGTGGCAACTATTTCGTCATAAGTGCAAAACGTATCCACAGAACTATAATTTTATATTGCAGGATATTCTTGTTGGGTTTTAGAATTCTGAAAGTATTAATCACAACGGTGTCCTGGATTTCGTCGCGCATACCTCGACGAAAATAACATTTATTGTTCTGTAACTACCGTGCGCGAGGTTCTGTACATAAAACATCGCACCGCTCTAGCCACTCTAAATGACTGTACAGACAGTACAAAAGAAGAGTGCATGCTGTAGAGGCGCAACAGTTTAGTATTTAGGATGATAGTGAAAAATAATTTGCTTGAGTTGCTGAATTTTTTTTTGCGGTTGCTTAAATAAGAATAATATAATTGTATGCTCTTTAAAATGAACACCTTTACCTTTGTAATTTTAGGTGTCGTAAATATTATATTGGCTTGGTTCTATGAACGATTCTAGATAGTAGTGAATAAAACAATGCTCTACCAGAATAATGTGCTTAATCTCTTTTTCAGAAATCCCAGTGTGTGCAGAGTAGTAAATATAGTTTGAAGATTCACAACAAAAAAAAACGGAGTAGCAATGATGGTTTGCAACTCAGACGAATAGTTTGAGCAGTTTATTAAAGAGTAAATATTTATGGCCATGAAGGAATGTAAATATAAGTTTTAAGATCAAATCAACCGCATTACTCGACGTAGCCTCACGTACGTGGGAGTAGATGAGAATAATTATTGAACATATAGTAAATAAATAAACATGACAAAATTACTTATGCTGATAACATCTACTCTTATGCATTATAAATAAATCTGCAGACCACGTTGCTGATATTCAGCAAGTTTAATTTTTATTTTATTTTGTTACAATTACGCAGTGCCTTAATCTTGAGAGTATGGTGCAAATGTCTTAAACAGTAAAACGAAAGATCTTTTAGATATAAGAATATTCGGAATTAGTATAGTCATGAACAGAAGATGCATTCTTACGCTCTTTAGTGTCCTGGTTTAAAACGACTTGTCAGTAGCCTCACAAGGTTATCCGCTAGTTTCTGCAGGATGTACTATTTAAAAATAATTTGGTTAAAGAACTACTCTAGCAAATCATGAAAATTCAGAATTCAATAAAATCGTCGTAGTTTGGCAGAATCGGGGATATGCCCACGTTTCCTAACAGAACAGACTAAAGTAATACTAAGTGTATATGAGGATGTAACGTAAATCGGCAGTCCTGTTTGTCTGTTCAAGGTAAACTTAAATAATAATAAAAAAGCAGGCCTACTATTTAATGTGAGCGAAGGCGACAGGAGCAACTCTTTTTGTCTGATTATGTTACTTTTTTTTTCTTTTCTTTTTTCAAGAACCTGATCAGACAGTTCCCCTGGCGACTTTCACGACACGCATTGTAGGGAGCTTTCAGTTTCTCGTTCGTCTTATCAACGTTGCTTCCCTTGCCAACTTGAAAACTGTCGGTTGCAAGACTTAATAAAAACAATTACTTTGATGCTCACTAAACAAGACCGTACGAGATACGAATCTCATGAATTCAGTAATTAATTATTTTATTGATTTAAGTTTCGGTACAGTGCCCGGGCCCCAATTAAGATAAATAAAAACGGTGCCATCTGAGCTGTCCTCAGTGAAAGGCTCACTATATTTAATGTATCTTTTCGATCATTTTCTTAATAACGGCGTAAATAATCGCATTTGTTGTCTCTTATGTAAAATTACACAGCGATTCAGGACGGTTCAGGGCAGCAATGTACTGATTGAATTTCATATTATCTTGAGTAATAAGCTCAAACGACAAAGATACGAATACTGTGGAAGATGTTAAAAAGAAACAAAGTTAAAATTAAAATTCATTTGACATACATTTTTATATAATATCGGGGGCACTGGCGGAATTTTCTAAAAACATTCGACTTGACTGGGTTTGCACCCCGACCCCCTTTCACACACACAAACACACACATGTACATATATTCGTCAGAAGTTGCACGATATGTAAATATCACATTAGTGATATTCACATATCAAACACGAGAAAATAAATCTGTGTTAAATATGCATCAAAAACGCATAATAAAATAACTAGCATGAGTAAAAGTGAATAATAACGGAAATATGTAGGCTACAGTCTAATAATTGAGAATAATGACGAAAAATGTCATTTTGAAAGACTGCGATCGATATATATAGTTAGTGCGAACGTGAGGGATGCGTCATGTTTCACACTGTCGAGTGTTATATGCTTTTCAGTTTCTCGTTAAATTTGTTATTTGATAAGCGATGTTGGTAGCTCGTTTTTTCCCGCGTAATATTCCTTGAACAGTGTGTTAGTATACATAGACTGAAACAATGTGCCTTTTAATCACGTAACTAAAGTGAAAATTCCAAATCGACAGGGTTCCTGCACGATGACGGGGTCGCCTAGGTCTATCCTGTTTACGGAAGCGATGCCAAACGGAGCGAGGCTCCTAAGATTTCCATAGCCTTCGCCCGGTAGAATGATTACAAGGGTAAGACCCTGTAACTTCCGGTAATGCGCTTGCGTATCTGGCGTCATTGGACTCGTTTTGCCCACCGTAAGGTGCAAAGCAGAATTGAGCGGCCCTCTCACAACTGGAAAAAAGTTTGCCGTAATGCAGTTCCGGCGCCAAAGGTCATACTACACTCCGTTTCACCTTACATCCCGACGCAGCGGACGCTACGAGCTATGCTAGCGAATCCCGCTCTGCGGACGTAGCCCGTGATACGCTTTCCGTGCGTCGCTCTGCTCCCTCTCCAGGGTCACGTGAGACTCACACGGCCTTGGATTGGCTCCGATGGCTCGTAGCATCCGCTGCGATCGGGCTTAAGGTGAAACGGAGTATAACGGATGTCTTTCTAATTCGATGCAAAGAGGCTTATCGGAGGTACATTACCATACTCCGTTCATCTTTATTCCCCCCTAGATACCGGCCCGTTACGCCAACTTTGAATAATTAATTGTTCAAATATCTCAAATGCGGCTACCACGTGACGGCTTAAAGGCCCGCGAATGGTATAGATACTCGATAGCTATGGACATTACAGACCTTTCCTCGCAAGGTGTGTGTTGCCATCAACGGTGCATGTGCAAAATGTGTAGCTCGGTCGCATGTCGGCAAGAAGATTGCACGAGCACTTATCGGATAGCCGTTAAAACATGTCGGTGTTTTCAGGATATGTCCGGGAGCCTGGGGGGACATATGCGTGTTTTAGAGAAACAGTTGGAGTGCCTTTGAATTCGTTCGAAGCGTTTCCAATGAGAATTCGCTACGAATAACGCATTCGGTTTGTGGACGAATATATTTCTGAAGGTCACACAGGTATGACGCAAGACAACCGAAAGGCCGCACAATTGTCCCTTAAGACAGACACTGAGATGAAAATAGAGGGGCTCATGTATCTCGCTGCCTTCGCGAGGAAACGTGATTGGGCCATTGTCCGTGTATCAACGTCATTTCAAGGACGGAGGAAATGAGGAGGTGGTTGCAGGGGAAAGTGGGGGAATATGCGTGTAAGCGCTTTATTTTATCCGTAAATTTGAGTATATCTCAGATTTGAATAGCTAGTTCACCCCAGAGGACTGGATTATTGGTCGTAAATGTGGCAGCAGTACATCGCAATTATACCGTAAGTGTGGTCCTTTAGTCTCTAGAATTGCTTTTACAAAATACTCCTCCCGCCTCAAAGTGCCCTATTTAGATGCACAAACCAATTTCACGTGATCCGACGGACGTGTTTCTTTACGAAGTTTGTCTTGCTCTTAAAAGAAGAAAAAAAAATATCCTAATATATTTTTTAGGATGTGTCAGTTTTAATATTGATGGGGATGAACCCATCAATATTAAAATGCTTCATTGAGGCTTCATTTAAGATACAGATTTGCTTTCGACGAGAAGGTAATACCTTGTTAGAGATCTCAACGAAAATATGCAGAAACCGAGACTCGTTTCCAGGCTTGAAATCGCACATATTGCCCCGCAAGGCTTTATAAACGCTACAGTTATGTGGCACCGTCGCTCCTTGAGGCGACACTGAATACTCACATTCACTGATTGGGTTTTGGTTCTTATTCGAAAAATGTTCATACAAATGTTATCCACCACTACTTACGGTACGGTTTCTAGTTGTTTTGTGTCTGAGCTTATTTGCCACTAAGTGAAAAAAAATTTCATGAACTGCCTGCCCCAAAAGAGAAAATGACCGGGTTATGTCAATAACACTTCATTGTTTCTGAGTAAGACGTATACCCTTCGTTGAGCAATTTACTCCAATCATACGCATAGCCTGTACTAATGCTTTCAATAAATCACTCTGTGTTACATCATATTATCGTTCATTGGGTGGCCGCCATTTTCCAAACCCAGTGCTTAGCAGTCTGTAAACTTCTGACACGAACTGAACAAGTAAAGCGGTAAAATTAACCGCGTGCCAGATGCAAAGTACGGTGGGTGCAGGCGAGACGAAAATTATACAGATAAACAGCGAAAAAAAAATAATAAACTGAGTGCATGATATCGCTACGCATTGCACTAATGTATATATATATTTATATTTTTTTACGTGAATCAAACAAATTGAAATATCAAATGCAGATCATTAAA